TTTAACAAGGGAATATATAGGAAAAAAATCTTTAAAAATCTTCTGCTCAAGAACAGCAAAGCCATTTGTTATATTGATATGGAAGCATCCTCAGGTAGTTCAAAATCCAAGCCCCCCCCCCTTTAAACTTTTCAATACTGAAGTGATTTGTGCTTTTTCTTAGCCAGTGTGCTCAGGTGAGCGATGTGGCCCATGGACCTCTTGTTTATTTAAACTTTTCAACCTTTCAAGACTGAACTGATTTCTGCTTTTTCCTAGCCATAGTGCTCAGGTGAGCGATTTGGCCCCTGGGCCTCTTGTTCTTTGACCTTGACCTCACTTTTCTTAAATTAGTGTTTAGGTCAGTTTTAAAGAAACCATTCATGAAATTTTTATCAAACTTCATATGCTAATACATACTGATGTATGCTTTTCAACTGCATTAACATTTTTTGACCTTGACTTTTCTTTTGACCTTGACCTCACTTTTCTTAAATTAGTGTTTAGCTCAGTTTTAACGAAACCATTCAAGTTATATCAAATTTAACATGCTGATACATATTAGGGAGAGCTATTCAACTGCATCAAAAACTGTTGACCTTGACCTTTCCTGTGATTTGACCTCACTTTTCTTAAATTTGCATTTTGCTTAGTTTTAAAGAAACCATTTGAGATATTTTTATGTAAGCTTATGCTCTTGTACATAAGAATTTATCATCTATATCCAATTTTTTAGATTTCAATTTCAATTTTAAAGAAACTATATAAGATATTGTCGTCAAACATCATACACTAATACAAATTTTTATGTTGCATTACTAATATACCCTCGTGGGGGCATTCATGTCCCATGGACATATTTCTAGTTGACTTTTTCTTCAGAACTACTTTGCCAGTTTCAACCAAACTTGCCACAAAATATCCTTTGGTGAAGGGGATTCAAGTTTGATCAAATGCTTAACCACACCCTCTTCAAATGAAGATATTACTCTGTGAAAATTTGACAGTTTGTTTTAAAAATCTTTTCTTAAAGAATCACTCAGCTGAAAGAAGAAAAATTATATGAAAGCTTCCTGACATAGTGTAGATTCAAGTTTGTTCAAATCAGGACCCCTGGGGGTAGGGTTGCCAAAATAGGAGATCAAAGTTTTACATAGAAATATATTGGAAAAAACTTTAAAAATCTGCACAAGAACAGCTTGGCCATGATATGAACTAATAATATATATTTAAATATCTTCAGTCAATAACCAATTCTTCACATATAATGCGGGTGGGGGGAGGGTAGGATGGGTCCTCAATAGAGAATACACATTTTATATGGGAATATATATATATATATATATATATATATATATATATATATATATATATATATATATATATATATATATATATATATATATATATATATATATATATATATATATATTTAATTCAAAAATAGTTAAAAGATGATGTCACACATTAAAAATACTGTACGTGTACTTAAATTGGCGTATTCAAAATTTAGCTCAATCACTGGGTATGGTGTTGTTGGCGTAATCATGAATTAGCACTACGCATGTCCGTGCCGTATATTGTATTTATAAATAATTTCTTAGCGGTATCCATTAATTAGTGCAATGATGTCCCTGCTAATGCCGCTAAAATATGAAGCCCTTTTTTTAAGTACACATACAGTAATCATAGAAGAAAAAGAAAATGTACAGTTTCCAAATTTCATTCAAGAAAAAGAAAATGAATGGAATGAAATTTGGAAACTGTGCATTTTCTTTTTCTTTTATGATTATATATATATATATATATATATATATATATATATATATATATATATATATATATATATATATATATATATATATATATATATATATAGAATATTCTTCAGAACAGCAGGGCCATGATTAAAATATCAGAATGTATAGGAAGAAATCTTGGATTAATATAATATGCAAGTATTCTGAAGAATATTTGTTTCAGGTATAAAAATTTTGTGTAGGAATATATGTGGAAAAACTTTAAATTAATTGTAATTAATATTTAATTAAAATTTATCTCAAGAATAGCCTAGGCATGATTATTTCTGTTTTTAATAGCCAAGCAACTTCAGGTAATGCAGATTGAAGATTGTTTAAATTATGACCCCAGAGATAGTACGAGGCCATACCAATCGGGTAAAAAAAAGTGTTGGAATATAGAGGGGAGAAAAATCTTTTTTTGAAGAACAGCATTGGTACTGTGACTCAGGTGAGCATTGTGGCCCAAGGGCTTCTTGATTCACGTTTCATTGGATGGGACATTCATTTTCTATGGACATATTCATAGATCAATTTCGAAGTTTATGAGACTATGACCTTGGTTGTACTTTTCAAGAGGCATATTACATTGACCTTATGTAAGCATTAAGATACTTGTAATCAAAACATACCCGCAACAGCATTATTTGTACATGTACTTCCGCGTGTATAGTGTTTGACAAGGCGATTGTATACTTGTATATAGGTTAATGTTCTGAATTTGTTTTGACAGATTCCCCAGGATGTGCTGAGGAGTTATTAAGAGGATGAAGAAATCACCACCTTACAGGTTATCATAATTCCTTCACATGCAAAAGTTCATAAGGCCAAAAATAAAATTAGTCTATAGTTCCTCAGGCACCACTGCATCAGGTCAAACATTGACGCATTGATCAATTTTATTGTCATATTGAAAAGGGAAATAACTCAATTCTCTATTTTTTCCAAGCAGAAAAAGAAAATTGATTTTTTCCCCTTTTCATACATGCTAATAAAATACGGTTTTGTTAGCTCACCTGATTGAGCTTTTCTGATCAAATTTTGTCCATCATCCATCTAGCTGTCTGTCCGTCCATTCGTCTGTAAACTTTTCACAATTTCAACTTTTTCTCCAGAACCAATGGCCAATTTCAACCAAACTTGTCACAAAGCATCCCTGGGTAAAGGGGATTCAAGTTTGCTCAAATGAAGGGCCATGCCCTCTTTCAAGGGGAGAAAATTAAGAAATAGTGAAAATTGGGTGGGGTCATTTAAAAATCTTCTCAAGAACCACTGGGCTAAAAGAGATGAAACTTATGTGAAAGCTTCCTGACATAGCATAGATTCAATTTTGCTTAAATTTATAACCCCGGGGGTAGGGTGGGGCCACAATGAGGAATCAAATTTTTACATAGGAATATATAGGAAAAAATCTTCAAAAATCTTCTCAACAACAGCAAAGCCATGATAAATCATATTGATATGGAAGCACCCTCAGTTAGTGTTAATCCAAGTTTGTTCAAATCATGACCCCCGGGGGTTGGATTGGGTCACAAGGGGGATCCAAGTTTTACATAGGAATATATAGGAAAAAAAACTTTAAAAATCTTCTCAAAAAAACGCAAAGCCATGATTAGTCATATTGACATGGAAGCATTCTCAGGTAGTGTAGATTCAAGTTTGTTCAAATCTTGACCCCAGGGGGTAGTGTGGACCCACAATAGGGGATTAAACTTTAACATAGGAATATATAGGAGAAAATCATACAAAAATCCTCTTTTCAAGAATAGCAAATCCATGATAAGTCATATTGATATGGAAGCATCCTCAGGTAGTGCAGATTTAAGTTTGTTCAAATGATGACCCCCGGGGGTAGGGTGGGTCCACAATGGGCTATCAAAGTTTAGCATAGGGATATATAGGAAAAAATCTTTAAAAATCTTTTTTTTAGGAACAGCAAAGCCATGATAAGTCATATGAATATGGAAGCATCCTCAGATAGTGTAGATTCAAGTTTGTTCAAACCATGACATCTGAGAGTAGGTTGGGGTCACAGTGGGGGATCAAAGTTTTACATATTAGGGATATATAATAGAAAAAAATCTGCTGATGAAGAACAGCAGGGCCATATTGACTCAGTTGAGCACTGTGGTCCATGGGCCTCTTGTTATATACACAATGTATTTCTTGTAAAAACGGTATTTTACAGATTAACTCCTTATTAAAATGTTTGGACTAAAATTAATTTAAGTTGAGTCTATATAACAATTAATATGAGTCTATATAACAATTAATATAAGAGTACAAAAAGTAAGAATAAGTAGATGTCATTATTTTGTTGACTGACAAGAAAAAAAGATTCAGATAACACCTTTAAATAAAAGAAGAAGAAAAAAAACTGCCTGCTGCATTGAATTTTTGGCCTGAGAAACTAAAGATGGAATTTTTTGGCCTAAACTATAAAAGTAAATGCAGTACATTTGTAGATGTACATGTTTTGTTCTTGTTTTTTTTAACAAACAATCAAAATTAAAGCTATCTTGATTTGAATTTTGTAATTTCAAAAAATAGACATGATTTTCTCATAAATAAAATAAGGTAAATGAAATATGTTTTTGTAAGAATGATAAATAATAATGTCCTTTGTTTTTTTTTTTTACTCACTAGGACAAAGAAACAAGATGAAAAGAACAAACAAGTGGTTACCAGATACAAGAAATCGATGTGGTAAACATTTCTCTGTTACTTTATATAACTGTGTTACATGTGAAACACACTATAGGTCATGCGGTTAAATATAGAGTGTGTCATATAATAATTAAGAAAATCTATATTTAATACTGCACAACCTTGTAACTTATGAATTAATATTTGTAAGAAGACAGGGTTTATCATGATAATTCTTATGTAAATTAAGTTGACTCACTGGACTGTAAATACAATGAAGGTGAATGTAATGTTTCAAATGATTTCATATTATCACCTACAAGAATCTTAAAAGTCTTCCATTATTTCACAATTTATATATGTGTTTTAATTTGTGAATATTTATCTGTTAGACAGGTTTGATTGAGAACACTTGGAGGCTGCTATTGATTGAGACATTGTAAACATTCAGCACCCAGTGTAAAGGTATTTAATATTTTTATTTATATGTGTCTTAATTCTATTAAATTACATAAGTTCTTAAAACCAATACATTGATACATGTGTACATTGTAAAGAGAGCCCTGTTATTGATGTAGATAATTATAACACAATGTTGTAATTTACAGAGAGATCTCCCTGACTGAGGAAATCCACACGGGATTCTGTTATAAAACCACAGGATAAAGATGAAATAAATGTCTGCTGTCAATGATGTATAGATTAGTGTTACAGAAATCTGTCACAGTGACAGGTGTTAGACGTGGTCTTCATATTTCCCGTGTATCGTCAGACCGGGTCTGGATCAGTGATTATAGAAATCTCATCTTGACAAACACAGCAGGTGATAAACTACATCATCTGACAGATATAAAACACAATGGTGATGGAGTACACACAGTAACTAGAGACGGTGATTTAATTTATATAGACAGTGACTATAACATCAACAAACTGTCTACAGATAACAAAGTAAAGACCACATTAATAAAGTACACAGGACCATGGGAACCACAGTGTGTCTACAGCTCCCCCTCTGGAGACCTGCTGGTCGGGATGTGTCATACTGATACAGATACAGGCCAGGTAAACCGTTACACTAACACAGGACAACACCTACAGACCATACAACACGACAACAACACAGGTCAGGGACTGTATAGATATCCTATCTACATCACAGAAAACCGCAATGGAGATGTTATTGTGTCTGACTGGGACCGTTATGCTGTAGTGGTGACAGATGGTGTAGGTAGATATCGCTTCTCCTACACAGGACCTCCATCAGGATCACGACTATATCCACAAGGATTCTGTACTGACGCGCTGTCACACATCCTGGTGTGTGATGATAGAACCCACTCAGTACAGATACTGGACGGTGATTGGAGATTCCTATCACAGATAGAGACACGACAACACGGGATAGACGGACCATACAGCCTGAGTTATGATGATAGAACACACTGTGTCTGGATTGGATCAGGGAACAACAACACAGTGAACATTTACAGACTTATACATGACGACTCCCTGACTGGTAAGTAATACTAAAGTATGATTAGGTGTTTTTTTTAACCATATTTTGTGTGTACAATTTATTATATTCATTGTTTTAATTATAATTATTACAAGACATTAATGAACAATAATTATTATAGTCATTGTTCTTAGTGTAATTACATTACATGGTTAATTCAATTCTAATTTGTTGCAATAAGTAACAAGGAATATTTCTAAGGTGAGGATATATAAATTATACACTGTAATTTATAACTAAAGTACATCTTTTTTGTATTATATACTTATTATTTAATTAGTTAAGAGTTCTTATAATGTGTACTTGGTTTAGTTTATAACTTTGTTATGGTAGACAGACTACTGATTTGTACAGATCAGACTTGACATAGATTCTGTCCTACACTACAATGTCTAAATGTTCTCTGACTGGTTAAGGATATGTTCAATGACTCTCATTGATTTTGTCTTCTATTTGGACTGACATCATAATTCTATAGTAGGCACTGCTAAAGTGAGGAAATGAATACCAGTCCAGTTGTCTGGTTTGTTAGTTAACTTTATAGATCCCTACAAATGTCAGGAAATAAAGGGTATACAGTTGTAAAATGGGTGGAGTGGGTGGGGTGGGATGGGGGTATTGGAGATTAGGGGTTTGGAGGGGTCAGTGTCATAGTTCGTAATGATAGTTGATATATGGTTCTTTCAATACTCCATTCAAGCAAAATACAATGACAGTGACTACAATATTTTAAACTTTTAACAGATGACAATTTGTACAAGTTGATGGATATAGACACCATTGATATGAACACAGCTCTGTCTAGGAATGTTGTGTATTTCTGTAGCAGGTGTTCAGTAAATCTACACTGTGTACTGGGTTGACATTCTACATGTATGCCAAATTTCAGAATTATTTAATTTTAGTTAAGACCTGTTGGAAATGCAATGAAATAGTGATTCATTCTAATGATATTGATGTGTGAAAGTAAGCATCTGTGAGAATAATTCAAACATTGAACTTAATTTATACCAGTGTACAAACAAGTTCATAGCTTACTAAAAACAACTGAAGGTTACATGGTTAAGGTGAGTTTAAATACAAACAGTAAAAGTTGTACCCTGGTATTTGACATTAACTCTCTTTTCAAAATCCTTATTACACAATTAAGACACGACCCCACGACCACAGTCACCTGTAAACGAAGTTGGGGGGTGTATAGGAATCACCTTGTCCCTCTGCCTGTGCAGTCTTCCATGGTGTGTAACTTTGTAATGGAGAACCATTGGATGCATTATTAGTTACATGTATCTAGGTCCAATCAATGGTGTACGGGGATTTACCCCGGGTTTTATTCAGTACACCCTGAGGGTAAGGCTAAATCCTCGTACACCCTTAATTGAACCTGGATAACGAATTTATTTCCTATGTAAACAAATAAATTCTTTGTAAACACAATTCCAATCAATGGTGTTTCAAACTATAGATGAGATTTACTACATGCTGCAATGCATCGTGACGTCATATTAATTGCTTTAAAATTGTGATAGAAAAACTATGAATTGTGAGGTCATGTTATTTACTCTGGCTCAAGCCAGGTGTACGATAATTTACACCCGACTTGCTAACCAATCAAATATCCAGTGATTTTTTTTGTTTTTTAAACCACCACCCCCTCCTTTTGAATTGGGAAAAATTAGCGACATTTTCTTCAAATTGGGAAAAATCATTTATAGTAAATTAGAATGCCAAAAAATGACATAAAATAATCAAACAACAACAGTTTTTGTTTGATTTTAACTTTAAATTTGATTTAAATTCATCAAATAATCATTTAAAAAAAATTAACATCAACATTTAATTAAATGTGAACATGGCTTATATTAGTCACACCTTGTAGCTTCTTTTTTCTTGGAATTGCTTAATTGTCTAATTGCATAAAAAAAATAACCAGCATTTAGACTTATAATTTAGTAAACTGTCTTATATTGTTAATCAAGTTTACAGACTTTACTGTTTGTTTTTTCCTGATTTTAGTGAAACCCTATAGTGTTGTCCATTTCCTGATATTAGCCTGACCCTCTATGTAATAATGGCGGTCAAACCAAAATCATCATGTCAACATAGAACATGACTTGTATCTGGGAACTATTTACCAATTCATTTAGGATATTATAAGCTACGTATCTGCTTATATGGATATCTGCATTGTTTTACACATTCATTAAAAAATTGGCTGCATATGCATGGATTTGGAGAATAAAATTGAAGTATATAAACGTATTTACTCTGTCAGCAAATTTAGCGACTTTTGTTAAAAATTTTAACATATAATTTCCGTATGTTTGAAATTGGGAAAAATATGCTAATAATTGGGAAAAAATAGCTAATTTTTGTGAGGGGAAACAGCCGAATATCGGTAGCATTTTGACCTAAAAAAAATCACTAGCTGGATTTTTTATGACCTGAGGGTGTGTCACGACCTTAATCAAGGTCATTCTTGCAAGTTCTAGGTCACTAAAAGAAAAAGTATAAAACTCTTCTCCAAGCTATACCTTTGAAATGGAGAATCATTGGAAGCTTTTAATTGGTACAAAGATTGTTTATATCTGAGTGTTTTTGATGATTGACTTTGACTCAAGGTTGTCTAGGCAAGTTCAAGGTCACTGGCACAAAAAGTATATAACTCTTGTCTGGGCTATAACTTTGTAATGGAGAATCAATGGAAGCTCATGCTTGGTACAAAGTTTGTTTATGACCTGAGGAATGTGTCATGACCTTGACCCATTGTAATAGTGACAAGTTCAAGATCACTGGCAGAATAAATTATAAAATTCTTGACAGATTAAAATTTTCTAATTAAAAAACATTAGATGTCCATATTTCACTCAAAGATTACTAATGACCATGATGACCAGAGTATGTGTAAAATTTTTGGTCATTTTGGCAAGTTCAAGGTCACACTTACAAAATTGCAAATAGGCACTTTAGAAAATGCAGCGTAGGTTATTTGTGAGCTTGCTCACAGTACCTCTGCATGGTTCATGTTTGGTATGTTCCCTGTTACAACCACTCTTAGACTAGTGTAACACACACATGTAGCTGTTGCCTGCGTGGCGCAGTGGTTAGAATGTCTGCTATAGAGTCACAGAGTAAGGAGCTGATCCTAACGTCGGGGGTACAAATCTACTGCTGGACGTGAGACCAGCCCTTAGTATGAGACCATATAAACCAAGGTCCTGTGTCGCAGTAGGTGTTGGCATGAAAGAGAACCCTCACCACTCAATAGCCCTGAGTGCCAAGCAAAGATATAAATTTACAGCCCTCCGTTGGCAAGTGGTGGTGTCTCCATATGAGTGAAATATTCTTGAGAGGGATGTTAAAACAATAAACAAACAAACACACATTTAGCTCATTTTGTAACAGGGTCATAAGAAAGTAAAGCTATTTTGTGTGTGTTTTACCTGAGTCATAGTTCTAATGGTGATTTGTCCCTTTGTTAATCCTGAGATACAGTAAATATCTTTAATTCCTTGTGTTAAAAATTTCTAGATTTTCTTTGTTAGCTCACCTGAGCTGAAAGCTCAAGTGAGCTTTTCTGATCACCCGTTGTCCGTCCGTCCGTCCGTCTGTCCGTCTGTCCGTCCGTCCGTCTGTAAACTTTTCACATTTTCAACTTCTTCTCAAGAACCACTGGGCCAATTTTAACCAAACTTGGTACAAAGTATCCTTGGGGGAAGGGGAGTTTAAATTGTTAAAATAAAGGGCCAAGTCCCCTTACAAGGGGAGATAATCAAGAAAAGACAAAAATAGGGTGGGGTCATAAAGAAATCTTCTTCTCAAGAACCACTGGGCCAGAAAAGCTGAAACTTATATGGAAGCATCCTGGGATAGTGTAGATTCTAAATTGTTAAAATCATGACCCCCGGGGGTAGGGCGGGGCCACAATAGGGAATCCAAGTTTTACATTGAAATATATGGGAAAAATCTTTAAAAATCTTCTTCTCAAGTACCACTGAGCCAGAAAAGCTGAAACTTATGTGGAAGCATCCTGGGATAGTGTACATTCTAAATTGTTAAAATCATGACCCCCGGGGGTAGGGCGGGGCCACAATAGGGAATCCAATTTTTACATTGAAATATATAGGAAAAATCTTGAAAAATCTTCTTCTCAAGAACCACTGGGCCAGAAAAGCTGAAACTTATGTGGAAGCATCCTGGGATAGTGTACATTCTAAATTGTTAAAATCATGACCCCCGGGGGTAGGGCGGGGCCACAATAGGGAATCCAATTTTTACATTGAAATATATAGGAAAAATCTTTAAAAATCTTCTTCTCAAGAACCACTGGGCCAGAAAAGCTGAAACTTATATGGAAGCATTCTGGGATAGTGTAGATTCTAAATTGTTAAAATCATGACCCCCGGGGGTGGGGCGGGGCCACAATAGGGAATCCAAGTTTTACATTGAAATATATGGGAAAAATCTTGAAAAATCTTCTTCTCAAGAACCACTGGGCCAGAAAAACTGAAACTTATGTGGAAGCATCCTGGGGTAGTGTAGATTCTAATTTGTTCAAATCATGACCCCCGGGGGTAGGGCGGGGCCACAATAGGGAATCCAATTTTTACATTGAAATATATAGGAAAAATCTTGAAAAATCTTCTTCTCAAGAACCACTGGGCCAGAAAAACTGAAACTTATGTGGAAGCATCTTGGGGTAGTGTAGATTCTAATTTGTTCAAATCATGACCCCCGGGGGTAGGGCGGGGCCACAATAGGAAATACAAGTTTTACATTGAAATATATAGGAACAAGATGTGTTTGTGAAACACTATGCCCCCGTATGGTAGCTTATGTCGAAGGTTAAAGTTTCTCAAATGCAAGTCAAAATCCAGGCCAAAAGATAAAAAATGTTGATACCCAAAGAAAGATCTTGTCTCGAGGAAAACACCTGTGAAATTTGAAAGACCTAGATACAACTGTTCAAAAGTTATGGTGAAGGTTAAAGTTTTTTAAAT